CCCTCTTTCGCTCGCTCTGCCCTTTCCGCCCCTCCCCAGAGAAGAGTGTCCAGCTCCTCCCGGGGCTGCCCGCCCGCCGCTCCTTCCCTGCCCACCTACTATGAGGAGCGGCTCCTCCCACCTGCCCATAAAAGCCAAGTGCATGTTACCAGCACCAGATCAGAGCACTTTCCCGGTCCTCTCCTGTGGGAGCCCCCGAACCTCTCTTCTGGATCTTACGTGCTCAAGGTAAGACAACACTTCTGCAGGCATCTGACCTACAGGGGTTGCTGCGGGAAATAAGTCTCCTATGGTCAGCAGACTTACTGTTTGGTTTGAGCTTAGTCTTATGGATGCCAGATCAGCTGCTCCTTTAACTAGCAACTGGTTTGAAAACAAACTTCTGTTTGAACTGTAAAATAAAAGTTCATTTTGGGCAGAAACAGCAGCATAAATATCGCAAAAAACTTTTTTCTCTTTTTAAATCACTTTTCCCCTGCTGCTGACTGTTGCTGAGGTTAAAATGTATCCGTTTGGGGCGTTTTACTGACGTTTTTCATTGTAAATACCTCACATTATCAGTGGGGGCAAGGAAAACTTTGTCCCATTGTCAAAAATGTGCTTTAAAAGAACACAATTAGTTTCCTAAAAATAGCATAGTCAAAAGGTCTGCTAACAATTTTGTGATGTTTTCCAAACCCCCAAGACAGCTTCCGTGAGTCCTTTAAAAAATATCTTTCCAGGTTTAAGCGCTTGGAAAAAATGATGTGAACGGGTGCCCTTTACACAGGACGGTGATCAGGTGGCTGGTAGATAGGAAAGAACAAATCCAAGTTTACAAGTTGGGGCAGAATATGCTCTCACAAAGCTCTCTTTTCAAGACATCCTAAAATGAGAATTGGGTTGGAAGTAAAGTGTATAAAAGGACTTCATGGATTTCTATACACACACCTAAACATCAAGTGTTTCAATATGTTTCACAGTAAGAGAAAAATACAGGCCAAATTATACAATACTTCTGTGTACACCAGACAGTTGTAAAGAAAGAACCGCTAGAAGGCTTTAGAGGTTTGAACTCTGCTTGCCACCTTCTTTTCCCTCATCTGGTAAATTAAAATCGACCTGATTGACACCTAGTTTTCACAGAGATATCCAGTGGATAAGCTACTCTCATTTTTGAAGACTGAAATCTTCTTATTTCTGAGGTTTGAGAGTGAGTGTCGTGCACCTGTGAAAGGAAAAACATATTCCACAGCTACTTTTGTAAAACCAGACACTTGGTCTATGAAGTTTGGCATCAAAATCTGTGGGCTGTGTGGGATGAAACTCTCTCATGTGGGAGAAAAACCCTCTTCCAATGTTTCCTCTGGGGAATTGCACAAGACCGCTTAAAGAAGGCAAACCAAAGCTGGCAGTCAGGAAACCAAACCACTATTTGAGCTCTTAAGATTCTTAAAGTAAGAGGGGAAAAGTATGACTTTTTTTTTTTTTTTTGGTTTGTTTATATTGTTTAACTTGAAAAAGGAAAACTCACCAAAGCTGTAAAAAAATGCTCCACTATTAAAGTAGAATCATTAGAAGTTTAACTGAGGGTCTTCCAAACTTATTCTCCTTATGGTTTGCATATCAAAAGAAATAATAAAGATATTTTAAAATTCTGTTTGGCATGGAGGGGATTCAATGCTATTATTCAAATGAAAGTTATATGTAAAGCTTTCTGTCATATGAAATTTTGCTTCATTGGAAAAAAATTATTGCAAAGAGTGTGGTTTTCTTTAAGAAAATGATATAAAATTACTATTGGCCAAGATAAAATGTGACCTGGGCATATTGAAATAGCTTTTATCTCAAGCCACAGTGCAGACAGCTTGCTTCATATCTGATGTAAGTGGGTAATCAACCGTGACAAGAGCACAGGTATGAGACAAGGCCAAACCAAGTGTGTGGTATGTCCAAGTTCATTCTTCTTTTATGGTAGTGTCGGAATCACGCCCATCATCACAAGGGTGAAAATACACTGCCTCATTCAGCAGATTCCCTTAAGGGAAGTTATCTTTTCTGCGAGAAAAAAAAAAAAAAAAAAAGTGCTCCCAGTGTAAAAAAACTCCCCGTTGTTCCTAAGTTTGGTGATGAAAAGTGTTCTCCCAGGGTTTGCTTCTGCTTTTCCTGGCAGTCGATCTATTCCACCAGCTACGAACCATTTAACAGTAACTGCCTCCCCCATGTGCCATCAAGTTCAACACCCTGAATAACTGAGTGAGATCATCTTAGATTGCTCATGATCTAACTCCCCTAGGGGCCTTTACCAGACACTTAAAGTAATTCTTTCTCCATGGGGTGCACATCAGGCAAGATGACACTTCCCTTAAGTTTTTAGAAAAATCATTGGCGGGGGTTTCAAGTAGTTACCCTAGTGTCTCCCTATTTGCACAGGAGTCTCCTCTTTATGCCATTGTATGGCTGCCCCCAGATTGGGTTCATGGCCAAAACCATCCAACATTATTCCATCAGGCTTTGAACAAATCCTTAATGTTTCTAAAAAAGAAAAGATGAGCAGCTACCTGGTTCATTAGATACCGAGAGGGTGCTCTGCTGACTTTGAGGGCCTGCTGTACCTAGGGAAACACATGTTTCAGATTTTCTACTATTCTCAAAGGTACAAAACAATATTCTTTTCATGATCGGAAAGCATACTCCACTGTATTTCCACTTGTGAATCAAAAATCAAGGAGAAGAGAATATGAATAAGTAGAGAACTGAGAGAAAGCTGGAAGGAATTGCTCCTAGGAAGTGCTCCAAGAGAATAGAAAGACCAGAATCTATTACAAACGCACCTTCTTTTTGCCCTTACTTACATGGAATATGAGGAGATGCGGAAGAGCAGAATCCATATCTGCTCTTGTATTTCTTTCTGAAATCAGTGAGAGTATTTCTACCAATAAGTTAAGATCCATCTCCTCCGTGCCCTTCCTACAGAAGGGAACAGCTCAGTTATAAAAACAAGAATGATTGCAGATCTGCCCCATGTTAAAACCAACACGATTTTGCCAGTTATAATTTTAAACGCTATATTATGAGTATAAAAAACCCTCAGAACATATTTTCAAGTAATGGGTGATTCACAGCAACAAAACCAATCCTAGTTCTCCCAAAAGGCTCGATGCTGGGTAATTATTAGCAAATTAGAAATTAGTAGTAGCAATTTACTCTTTCTTATTCATGGTCACCCACTTTGGGATGGCAATTTGTAGAGCAATTAGGATGCAGACATATTTCTCAACCTCGTCCACCAAGGAACCCTCTGAGAACTAGGCGTTTCTTCATGCCTTAGCTTTCTCTTCCACCAGATACCCATAAACCCATAAATTCATATACGTAATTTAAAGAAGGTACATATCCTGAGACTAGAGTGCAGTCTTCTCTTTGGAGAGGTGCAGTGTTCTAAATATTGAGTGAAAAAAAAAAAAATTAAAGGAGAGGAAAGGTGGAGGTTAAGGAGAGAATGACTGCCCTTTGAAATTTAGAGAGTCTTTCTCTTTTCAATTTTGTGTGAAAAGGACTCCTTCCTAACTTACCAAAGCATCCAGAATTTCTTTTTAAAAAGGACTAGCTCACAAATTGTTAGAAAATTGTGAAAATATAATGAAAACGTACTTCCAGTGGCCTGGCAGTCATTAACAGCAATTTACACCCTAGAGCAATAAATTAGAGTGCTGCTAAACTTCTCCTTTCTAGAGAGACAAGGGGTAAAGAGTGGGAGAGAGAATTAAACATATTTCAGCACCAACGGAGAAAGGCACTAATCTGATATTCCACTACCGCTTTGGAACTATGTTTGCTGTTTGAGGAAGAAGGTTCTTTATAGTCTTTCCTCAAGCAAATAGACTTGCAGAGAGACACAAAAGTCAAAATATCTATAATCTGGGGTCCCTGTGTATGCAAATTCAAAGAGCCATTGAAATTGCACAGCATCAAACTGAAGTAACAAACAAAAATGTTCCCCAAACTGACCACAGAGTAATCAGTTAAATAATAATGAATTCTAATAATAATGATGAATTCTCAATGTAGCATGATAGCACGAGCAACTCCCAGCACTTATAGCTGAGTATATAAAATATTAAAACATATCTGATCTTCTGTTTATTTTGGGCTTACTTCTATTGTCCTTCCTGGAAAACAAAAGCTGCCCTTCTCTCCTTCGGCACAGGATTTGTAAATGCAGTCATAACCCCTCTGTGCTATCTTTTTTCTCTCTCAGTGGAAGAAATCTCCTTTTAATTCTTATAGATCAAGTTTCTGGAGTACAAGTCATACTTGTGGCTTTCATCATTACTAAAAATCTCATACTTTCTTAAACAGGATGTCAATTTTTATTCCAACAAAAAAAAGGCTTTATATTTTCTAAACTTTAATTCATATACCTTGAAGAAAGGTAATTTAAAATCACTAGTTGCCTCCAATAGACTCTCTGAAATAAAGTTTCAAAGCAATTTTATTTACTAGTCCCTATTCTAACTTCTTAAGTATTGAAAAACTTATTTATAGAATCACAGAATATAAATGCTGGGAAGATCCTTGGAGCTAATTTTAACTAAAGTTAATTTTACAAATTAGAAAAGAGTCAAAGAGGTTGATACCTTACCCAAGGTCACCCAGATGTGTGTAGCAGAACCAGGGCTGGAGTTAATGTAGCCAGACTCTCTGATCAGCACTCTGTCTTGAATAACTGTAATAATGTGTCTTCCCCACACAGTGCGTACATAAGATGTCTCAGACGATATTGAGAATTCTGTTGGAACCTAGCATACAGGGTTCTCAGAAACCATAATTGGTAGAGGTATTGGGCTGCAGCTATACCTCTACCACAGAATGTCTAAACATTGATCCAAACCCCCGTGAAGAGTGAAATCACTGATTGTCATCATCATAGGGACTTTATATGGCTTTCTCCATTCCAGGACCTGGTACATAGTAGTTCCTTGGGTCAATTTGTGTTGAGTGGGTGAGTGAATTAAAAAAAAAAACCAACTAAGTGTTAAATATTCATTTTTCTTAACTGCTTTCATAAAAATCCTTATAAAGAGTGTATAAGGACTTATAGGTACTCAAATCTCAAACATATCAACTTTAAGATCCTCCTTTGCTTTAGGAAATATAGAAGAGTTCTGTAGCCTTATCAATGGCTAAGCTATTTCCCTGCCTACAGTACTGTCACTAGTCCTCCCATATTTATTTGAATACCAGAA